AGACCTTTGATAATACATCACACACACACTTTAAACTTTTGTTTCTAACCCACACATCCACACATCTTAAACTTTACACCTCGTTTTCCATCATGCACATATATCCTCGTTCGTTCATGTGAGTGGAAACTTTGCCACGTGGCACACGATCCACACAACACACATACGATAGTTTTAGGGGTTAAGGTTCTTTATTCAAGTTTTGGTTAACGGAAGGATAGGGTTGTTTTCGCAAGCGCTCTGGGTGCTTTAGGGGGTTTCTAACCCATATAGAGCAGTGTATTCCGCGTTGCAAACAACCTATCAGCTCTAATCCACTGCATAACACGCCCTTTTGCAATTCCTGTTGCTCTATGTTTCTGGCGCACAAAAGCTACTAGTGGTGACTCGGGTTCACCTCGCAGCCTACGAAACTCGTGAATGTACAAGGCGTAGTATTTACCAAGTCTCATGTTTAAGGGGTACTGGTTTGATGTGGGTTGGAGATACCTATCCAGTAGCGTCCTATACTTGTCGGGCAGTTCCAAGTGACTCACATTCATGAAATCCCGCAACCCCCCGGTCCCAAATCGCACCGGTTTCTTGGTTGCCGTTGTGACCTGGGGTAAAAAACAGGCGTGCCTTTCACTTGTAATAGGATTCAGACGTTCACTGCATTTGAGGCACGAAAACTCAAACGCCTGTAGTAAATGCTTGGATATAGGGTTCCGAGCAAGCACCACTCTGGGTTCGCGGCAGTTGGGACACGCGTCACTCGGTAGTTTGTTGCAACATGTAACACACATGATAAATGTGCAACACACTGTAGTGGTCACCGTATGTGAAACGCAGGTGCACACGCCACAGGTAAACATGTGTTCGCGTATCAATTCCATACTAAGGTTCACCCGGTGGTCATCCTCAGTAACCTGTACAGGTATTGCTGACCCACCCGTATTACCAGTAGCGGTCGTGGTAGTGCCAAGTTTTTGAGGTTCGGTTCGAGGTGGTGGTTTGAGATCATTGGTCTGGTGTATCGTGTGTATGGGGCCCAGTAGACACATTTGTATCACTGCCGTGGGCATCTTGGGTTCGTCAGACGTCGTTCCTTGTTCGTGACGTACCACCCTCGTTATAGGTTCGGAGCCCGTGAGATCAATGTACGACGTGAACCCATTCCCAAACCCACCGAGGTCGCTGCTACTACCATTGTTGGACGTCATGATTATCAGGGGGTGGGCAACAAAAATATACTTGTGACTGCTCGTTGACGGCTGCGTCTTATCTATATATACCCAGACGCGACTATCGTAAAGTATGGTTGACCGGTGAGGTCCGATCGGTGAACACCCCCGGGGTCGGGTATACTTTCACCCCAAACTCCTAAACCCCCAAACAAAAGTAGTTGGTATATATATGGCGAGTAAGTGTTCATTATAAGTCACACTCACACCCCAAACCCAAATTGTGCAAAACCCACTCTCCGCTTTTGCGCCTACTGATTTTAAAAATGGTCAAGTCGTTTAAGGACTCCATCAGGGCGGACCTACTGGACTACCAGGGTCACTTTACCAAACACGTTGATATGTGTGTGGAAGGTTGGTTGAATCGTAATGTCATTAACCTCCTCAACATTGCCAGGGACCTCCAGGCGACAGGCGTTGTGCCCGACACCGAGAAAACGTTTGAGAATACAATGAAACTCTTGAGGGTGTGCTACGACCGAACGACCAATGTTATTGTGTGGAACAACGTTTTTGTATTGCTAATACATCGGGAATTGAAGAACGACGATCGCATAGCTCGGATTATCGATAGCTGGAAATTCAGCCACGTCTTCCACTCTGGACCTATGGACCCAGTTCCACCCAAGGTCGAGGTAACCGCTAAAAGAAACTATCGCAAGATGAGGTGTGGGGTTACAAAGAAAGACGGCAAGTCGTGCAAGCAGAGAATCATCAAAGCCCCCTATACCTGTCGGCATCACAGGACCCCTCCGGTTGTTTAACTTTCGTTTCGCAACGACTAAACCCTAATCCCAAATCTCTAAACCCCAAACTCTAAAACCCCAAACTCTAAATAAAAACCCCTTTACCCTAAAACATAAACCCTCGTCTTGATAAAAGCCCTAAACACAAACCACTTGTTATACACATGAGTCATTAGTACCTGTTTAAGGGATGTGGGGTTTTTCCTAGCCAGTTTAGGGCTTGACTGTAACCGGGTGGTTCACCGATCGCCCCTTACCGGTCAACCACCCATAATCGGTGCCCCATTTTGCCGACGCGACTAGTATAAAACCGTAGTCTCGATCCAGCTCAACATCA